TCTTGGGCATATAACGAAGGGAAAATTCATCTTACTATAGAGACATTTAATAATCCATGTCCATTATTGTTCACTCATAATAGCCATAAATTGGAAATGGCCTAGATGTCCATCAACCGATGAATGGATAATGTATACTGGTACAATTACACAATGGAGTATCATCAGCTGATAAATGAAATTACAAAATTTGCAGGTAAATGGGTGGAGCTAGAGAAGTTATCCTGAATGAGGTAACCCAGATTGCAAAAGACAGACATTTCATGTTTTCTCTTATATGTGGATGTTAGATTGTAAGCTTTAGTTGTTATGTGGGTGTGTGTCTTTGTGTGTCCTTTTTAATGAAAAAAAAAAACAAACAAAACAAAACCAACAGATGCTAGGTACTTGGTAAGAAACTAGGAGGGAGAAGGGCATCTCCCACAAAGGAGCAATCTAGGGTATAGTGTTATAAAGGGGATAAAGAGGAAACTAGAGTTAAAGAATTAAGTGAGGAGAGCAGGGTAAAGGAGGGATAAGGTGGTAAAGGCTTCTTGAAAATCCACATGGAAACTTACTACTGTAGAAACTTCATAAAATTTATACATATATAAAGGGAATTTAAATGGAGTCACCATATAATGGGGGAGACAACACCCCAACTACATATTTTATGCCACCAAGTAAAGCCTCCAGTGCCAGGAATGGGTTACATCTTGTTGAGTCATTAGCCAAAGGAGTACCATAGAAACTCCCAAATATCACAGGCCATTGCCAAGGCTATTGTTCACTCTCCATAACCTGATTGTACTTATGTCACTGAAACATTGAGAAATCAAGCTGGTGCCTACCAGCTTCACCCCTCCTGATCAGCTTTCATGGTACCAGAAAGTACTCTGCCATGATAAGAGGAGAAAAGTAATCAATTATTACTCAGCTACAAATCTGTGACCTATAATAGAGAACTGCCTGCAAGATATACTAATACAATAGTTGCACAAATGTTATGGGAATAGCAAACCACTTTTTGATTGGATTTAAGGCCCACTCCATTAGAAGGACTATATGGCATTATTAAAGTGTCTGAGAACCTGAGACTAGATAGGTCATGGGTCTAATGGTAAACCTATTGTTTTACTAAAGGAACATAGCCATAAGATAAATCCAAATGACATATTGCTATACCCACAGAGCAAATCATCACTCAACCCAAATCGAAGAAGCTTCTTCTTGCAGCAGATAGTAATCAGCAAAAAGATCCACAACTAGACATTTAGCAGAGTATGAGAGACTTTAGAGCACTCAGTCTTAAATGGTATATTTTCATTAAGCCTCTACCCTCAAGCCTCAGAAATATATATGGAAGAGGAAGTAGAAAGGTCCTAAGAGTCAAAAGTGATGGGTGACTCCAAAGAAGTCACAACAGACACAACAAGGCTGATGTACATAGGAACTTACAGAGACTGTGACAGAAGGCCACAAGACTCAAACAGGTATAAGCCAGACCAAAATCTCAGTACTGAGATGGAGAAGTGAACACAAATTCCCACCCTAGCCCAGAAGCTATTTACAGTTGATCAGTTTTCTCCAATGGAGTATCACTGGGCATATCAAGCACATTCCAGGGCAGGTCCTAGGTGCAGAAGTAATTGGCCAACACAAAACAAACTTCATGTTTTTGTTTACTTGTTTTGTGTGTGTATGTATGCACATGCTTTTTGTTTTGTTTTTGTCTTACTAGTTTTCTTTTGTGTTTATCTGTTTACATTATTTTTGGGTGTTTTTTCCCTGACTTTCTTCTTTTTTAAGACATAACATGAAGTTGGGTGGGAAAGATCTAGGAAATTGAGAAGGGGAGAGAATATGATCAGCATATGCTGTATAAAATACTTTAATTAAAAATAAAAAATAATAAAAATTAGGGGCTGGAGGAATTGATTGAGCAATAGTTAAGAGTACTGAATGGCTAAGATGCTCAGTCCCCATTCAAAAGGCAAAGAGAATGGACATCAGAAGAGGGAGAAAACAGGGAACAGGACAGTAGCCTACCATAGAGGGCCTCAGAAAGGATCTACCCTGGAGACTATCTAAGCAGATGCTGAGACTCATAACCATACTTTGGGCAGAATACAGGGAATCTTATGAAAGAAGGGGGTGATAGAAAGACCTGGAGGGGACAGGAGCTCCACAAGGAGAGCAAAAGAACCAAGAAATTTGGGCCCAGGGGTCTTTTCTGAGACTGATACTCCAAGCAAGGACCATTCATGGAGATAACCTAGAACCCATGCACAGATGTAGCCCATGGCAGTTCAGTGCCCAAGTGGGTTCCATAGTAATGGTGACAGGGGCTGTCTCTGACATGAACTGATTGGCCTGCTCTTTGATCACCTCACCCTGAGTGGGGAGCAGCCTTACCAGGCCACAGAGGAAGACAATACAGCTACTCCTGATGAGACTTGATAGACTAGGATCAGAAGGAAGGTGAGGAGGACCTCCCTGATCAGTGGACTGAGGGAGGGGCATGAATGGAGAAGGGGGAGGGAAGGTAGGATTGGGAGGGAACGAAGGAGGGAGCTACAGAGGGGATACAAAGTGAATAAAGTGTAATTAATAAAAATTAAAATAAAAAAAGAGTACTGAATGTTCTTATAGGTTCATTTCCCAGCACCCACACTAAAGATCAACTATTTTTAACTCCAGTTCTAGGAGATCTAGTACCCTATAGCCTTTGTAGATAGTGCACGCACACAGGTAGTAAGTACACATACATTACATACATGCAGGCAAAACACAAATAAAAATAAATTAAAACATTTTAAAATAGATGAAATATTTTAAAGTCCTTTATTCTATCTTTGAAAAATGTAATATAGGGCTAGGGATATAATTCAGTAGTAAAATACTTGCCTAGCAGCTTCAAGACCCATTTTTGTTTATAAATATTCAAAATACGTTAAAAATAAATGTTAAAATAAAATGTAGTAATTATGACATATAGTACCATTACAGTGTAACACTACACTAGAACTTATTCATACCTAAACAGAATTTAATACACATAAATCAACATTAAACCATTCCTCTTCCTTTCTTTCTTCAGTCCTTGACAACCACCTTTCTACTGTCAACTTCTACAGAAGCCACCTTTTAAGATTCTGAATAAAATCATGAAGTCCGTGTCCTGTGATGGCTAATTTCTGGCACCCCATAAATATGGGCAATTTTTATTTAAAATGATTATTGTTGTTTGAGACAGGATATCTCTACATAGCCCTGTCTGTCTTAGAACCTACTATTATAGATCAGGCTAGTCTCAAGCTCACAGAGATTCACAAGTGATGCCTCACAAGTGATGAGGTTAAAGGTATGCATCACCATGCCTATTGTAAGTTTTAACCAGTTAAATATAATAAAGGGTAGGGAAATAAACAAAAAGCATAATAATAAATAAACAAATATATGTGAATAGGCAATGCAATATATGTGTATTTAATATTACAAATGGAAGAAAGAATTGGGCAGAAGAAATATTTGAAGACATAATGGAGAAAAGTAAATATATACTATGAAGAGGAAATAGCAAAAACAAATATAATGAACAGAAAATATTTCTATTCTTGAGACTATCCTGGGCTATACAGTGAAACCCCATCTCAAACAAACGGGCTGGTGAGCAGGTTGAATAAAGTTCAAGTTCATTCCTGACCTACATTCATTCCTGAATACAATCCTTGGAAGCTACATGGTAGGTGGAAAGAACTGACTCTCACTAGATGTTGTTTGACTTCCACATACAGACCATCGTACTCATTTCACCCCCAAATAAATAACTAAATTTAAAGAAAACAATAAGCAGAAACACCTAGACAGTTGCAAAAATCAACATTATTTCATTGCCTTCAGTATCCTGAGCCTGAATTCACTATCACATGAAAACCAGAAATGAACATTATTTAATGGACAGAGTGAGCCATAGAATAAAGCTTGTAGTTTGGGCTTGAGAAATGGAAATAAGATGACATACATGCATGAAAATCATTAAGAAACCCATAACTTTGTATAAATAAAACACATAATTTCTTTTATGAAGAAACAGAAAAAAGAACTAAAGTTCAGAGACAATGGGATAAATCCTTTGAGGGTTTGGGACTGGGTAGTTACTAAAGATTGGACTTAAAGCAAGTGTTCCATTTTTGAGCTACATACCAGCCTCCCTTGGGTTTTAATTTACTGTACATCTTTGGTTCTATAGTGAAAGAATCAATAACAAAGGTGACTCAGACGTAGAAGGGACCTAGTATGGGAGTTTAGAGGAATCAAAACCCTGTGGGATGAGAACATTTCTGGAGTTTGAGATAGTGTCAACAAGACACAAGCAGAATTCATAGGAGTTTTTCCTCTTTTCTCTCTGTCTACATTGTTACTAGAAGGGGTACAACCATTACAGTGAATAGTTTCCTAAAAGAGGAAAGAAATGGTAGCCAAAGAAACTGGAAAGCACTGAAAAGAAACAAAAGAAGAAAGATATGCAGAGTGTGGTGGTGCATGCCTATAATCTCTCAGGAAGACAGAGGCAGGTGGATCTCTGTGAGTTTGAGGCCAGCCTGGTCTACGAAGTGAGCCCAGGACAGCCAAGACTACACAGAGAAACCCTGTTGAAGAAGAAGAGGAGGAGGAAGAAGAAAAGGAGAAGAAGAGGAGAAGGAGAAGAGGAGGAAGAAAGAGTGTACTTATTTATGACTTGCAAGTGCTTTGATCCTAATTAGCATACCAACTTTGTTAACTCAACTACCTTAAAGACTTCTATCCAAGACTCAGAAAGACCACTAGGTAGTGTACACAGAAGATAGGTCTAAATAATATTTGTGGAATAGCTCTGAAAATTTGTCTGATGGAAATATTATATACAAAAAATACACATCATATACAGACTACTGCTGGACTGGCAGTAGTATCAGACTAGTTTCCTCTCAGGACCCCCTGGCACTAGGCTGGTGGTCTCAGGCTCACTTTCTTCAGGGAATGTTAGGCTACTAATCCTTCAGATGTTCATAAGTCAGAACACTGAGCTCAGATGTAGCCTTTTTTCTCTCTGCCACCCACTGACACAGATGTGACACAGCAGCTACACCTGCAACTCTAGAGGCAGGTAATGTTGGCATTTTGAACAGCTAGAGAAGAGAAATTTGTCCCATACCATCCCATTACAGTCTTCAAGCCTTACCTGAGGAAAAAGAAATTAACCTCCATAGTCAACGAGAAAGAGAGCTTTAAACAAATAGACTGGGATGCTTTGGCCAGAGAAGGGAGAGAAATACTGACAATGGTCACAGCTGCAAGATACAGGCCCACTGTGCTAATCAATTATTTAATTTTAACAGTCCTCTGACCCTAAACTCCAGGAATGTGCTAAAAAACATTCAGTACTTGTAACAGTGATTACAAATTGGAAAGATAGAAGAGAGAAAAGAGACTCACTCTGAAATGTGACCAAAAGAGAAGTCCAAAATAAGTCACTAAACAATTTTTCATTCTCTGGCAACTATAATTATAACTAATTTCATGAAAAGCAAGGCAAGAAGATAATTTTAAAGGAGGTCATAAAGACAGTAGGAAAAGGACCTAATCTACAATGTTGGAGATTTCACAGACTTACCAGAAACCAAAAGCCAGTTTTAGAATGGAATTAAAAAGAAAACAAAACCAAAAACCTAGAAACCAGAAATTCCATGTTCAGCAATGTTTTTGTTGTTGTTGTTTTGGTTTGGTTTTTCAAGACAGGGTTTCTCAGCTGTCTTGGACTTGCTTTGTAGACTAGACTGGCCCCGAAGTCACAGTAATGCGACCGCCTACATCTCCCTGAAAGCTGGGATTACATGCATGCACCACCATGCCTGGCTCTTAGCAATACATTGTTAAAATCAATTCAGTGTTAACAGAACTGCCCTATAATCAACACTGAAGGCTCTTTAGACAAAGAGGATATAATAAAGCTCAGAAATCTGGATCTATAGAAAAAAGAAAGAGAGTTGGAAAGGGACTTAATAAAGGCAAAACACTTATTTTTCATAGATTTAATGATGGACATGATAATTGTATGTTCTAAAACTGGGGCTATATACACACATATGCAAATAACAATAACTAATGAGAAAAGGGGCCATTAATTTGAACAAGGGCAAGTAGGGGTATATGGTGGGGCAGTTGAAGAGAATAAAAGGTGGAAGGAAGTGATGTAATTATAATCTCAAAAAAAACCCTTTAGTGTAACAATGAGAAAATAAATTAAAATTAAGAAAACCAATTCCATTTATACTGACATAAATTTAAATATATAAACGTAAAAGTATATTTTAAAAATTACAAAGAAATTACAAACAACCTAAGTAAATGAAACATCTTATAAAGCGAAGACTTAATATTCTTAAGATGTCAGTATTCCCAGGCTGATCTACAGAATGAATGCAGCACCTATGCATAAAAAGACCAATTCATCCCCAAAATACATATAAAAATGCAAAAGATGTAAGGTACCCAAAATAATTCAAGAAGAACAAAGTTAAAGGACTCATGTTTTAAAGTTTCAAAATTTATTGTATGCAAATTTTACTATGTGTTAGTAGATAGTAATGAAGACTGTAACTAATGGGGGCTGAGTATAATTAAAAGTCTAGAAAGCCCTTTAATTTATGGACAAATAAGCTTCATTAATGGTGTCATGGTAATTCACTCTGGAAAGAAGTCTTTTCAATAAATGAAGTTGGGATGACCCAATATTCAAATGTAAAGACAAAATCAAGTTATGTTACTGTTTCATACCACATGACAAAATGATTTCAAAATGCGCCAAACACTTAAATATAAGAACCAAAACTACAAACCTCCTACAGTAAAATCTAGGCATAAATCTTTGCAGCATTGAATTAGACAAGTTTCATAAAAATGATACTTAAATCACTAGCAAGGAAAGACTTATCAAAGTAAAACAATTGCATTGTGGAGATAAGGTATTGCAATATTCAGGACTGACCTGAAATATGCTATATAGCCAAGTCTGCCCTCTACCCTGTGATCCTTCTGCTACTATACTGTTCATAATTAAAAATGTTTGTATCTCAAAATACACTGTAAGACCCAGGCATGGTGGAGCATACCTGTGAACTCAGCACCAGGAAAGTAGAGACCAAAGGATGAGGAATTCAAGGCAAGCCTGGACTAGAAGAGCTCTTATCACATTAAATTGAAAAAAACCAACCAACCAAACAAAACAGGAAAGAGAAAAAGAAATCGAAACCAGGCATGAAGAGTCACATCTTTTATACTAGAACTATAGAGGCTAAGGCAGAAGGATCCTGAGTTCTAGAACAGACCAGGTATTTAATAAGAACCTACCCATCCACCCCCACCTCCACAAAAAAGTGAACAGAAAACTCACAGGTAGAGATGTAGCTCAGTTAGGGAAGTATTTGCCTAAGATGATAAAACTCTAATATTCTATCCCTAGCAACACATAAATTGGGTATGGTGGCCCATATTTTTCTTTTCAGTATATATTAGGAGGTAGAAGCAGTTAGATGAGAAGTTCAAGGATAACTTTGGCTAGTTCAAAGCCAGGATGCTGTAACACCTTGTCTTAAAAAGGAAAAAGAAAGGAAGAGAAAGAGGAAGGAAAGAGGGAAGGGAGGAAGAAAGGAAGAAAAGAAGGGAAAAACTAAAAAGAAGAAATCCATAGAATGAAAGTAAATTTTATAAATCATATTTTGGATAAGACACTAGTATTTAGTACTTAAAGCACTTACAAATCTTAGTGTTTGCACGCTGAGGCAGGAGGATTTCTAGAAGTCTCACCCCAGTTTGGGATACAGTGTGAGACCCCGCGTCAAAGATAAACAGATGGTTCAGCCAGTAAAGGCACTTGCCACTAAACCTCAAGACCTAAGTTTTATTCCAGGGACTCACATGGTAGAAGGAGCAAACGACCCCTACAAGTTGTCTTCTTACTTTTCTATGCACATACATACAAACACATATTTTTTTTTAATTCTAAAAAAAGAAACTCTTACAAATAATTCAAGGACAAATAATCTAATTAAATTAAAATGGGCAAAGAAAAAGAATCTGCATAGACTTTTCTCCAAGGAAAATACACAAATGGCCAATAAGCACATGAAAAGATTTTTTTAAAAGTCACTAGTCATTATACAAATACAAGTCACAAAGAGAGGGTACATATTTTTCCAGAAAGTATATAGTAATATAACATAATAATATAAATGTCCATGAGGATATGGAAAATCTGAAACCATTGTATGTTGTTTTGGGAAATAATATTATGAGGTCACTTTTTTTTTGTTTGTTTGTTTGTTTTTGAGACAATTTCTCTGTATAACAGCCCTGGCTTTCCTGGAACCCACTTTGTAGGCCAGGCTGGCTTCAAACCTGAGATATGTCTACCTCTGTCAAACTCACTTTTAAAAAAATACAATTTTGCAGATGTTTACTCAGAATGCTATCAACAGTTTCTGTATGATTCAAGAATTCTACTCCTAAGTGAAATAAACATTTATGTCCATAAAAAACTTGTACATGAATGTTCATGAAAGCATTATTCAGAGTAGCCAAAAGTGGCAACAACCAAACTGCTGATCACTTTATGATTAGATGTATAGAAAGTGGTATGTCCATATAATAAGATAATACTTGACTATAAAAAGTTATAAACATAATACAACATATATTAACCTTGGAAACATTATGCACAACAAACCAGATCAAACACTAAAGGCCACACGGTAAATGGTTCCATTTCTATGGAATGTCTCAAATAAACTAAGCCATTGAAATGGAAGAGTAGGTTAGTAGGTACCAGGGTGGAGGGAAGGGTGGAATGGGAAGGTACCCTAAAGAGCATAAAGTTTCTTTTTCTTATAATGAATTTCAAAATAACTAGTAGAGAGTATTTTAGATGTTCTCAACACAAATACATGATAAATATCTGAGTTGATGAATAGACTAATTACCTTAATCTAATAATTCACACTACATACATGTATTGAAATACCATGTTGTCTCCCATAAATATATACAGCTATGAGTCAATTAAATCTTACTTGATATAAAAGTATTTTTATTCAGAGACTTTCATACAAACATACAATGCATTGTTACCATATTCATCCCATAATCCCCCAATCCTCCAAGGTTCCTCTAAATTTTAAATACATATTAATCAAATTAGTGATGATGGTTGTACAATCATATGAATATGTTCAAAATCAGTCTCTTGTATTCTTCAAGACTGTGAGTTTCATGTTACATGAATTGTTTCACTAATGAAAAACAAATTTTGCTGTGTGTGATGGAACATGCCTTTAATCCCAGCATTTGGGAGGGAGAAGCATGTAAATCTCTGTGAGTTCAAGACTAGCTTGGTCAACATAGCATGTTCCAGGACAGCCACAGCTACATAATAGAGAGACTCTGTCTCAAGCAAAACAAAACAAATTTTTAAATTTTTAAATGAAATTTGTTAGGCAAATATTAAACTTAGTAAACTGAGTGTAGATATACTAATATCAAAAGAAAATGAAATTGTAATGCAATATGACAACAATAACAAACTATTTGATATTACCAAAAGTATGGCCACTCTAAATTTATTTGTAACAAGCCGTCAAAACTAGCAAAATTATTAGAAGACTTTAACACATTTTCCACAATGATAGGCAATCCAAACTCCAGCAGACTATTGGAACATTTTAGTCAGATTAACAAGCAAGACATAATTAAGATAAATGCAACACAAATGTAAAATATATGTTCTTTTCCAGTGCTCAGAAAATGGTCACCAAAGGCCCCATAAAGTGGATTTCAAGGACTTAGGATCATACAAAGTTTGTTTTCTGGTAGGAATGAAATTTGAGTGGACATGGCCTTGACAGTGACCTATCTAAACAGAAGCTGGCTGAAGGACTGGTACTAAGTACAAGAGGTGCCCTACTGTTCCAAGCATTAACCTCTTAGCTGCCACATGACAATCAGTAGGGTCCTAGCAGTCCTAGGATAGAGACTGAGGCAATGAGGGAAACTGGGTAAGTGACAGAGTAAGCAAATTTATGGAGTGTCTATACATCAAATGGTCTATGAGGAT